ATGAAGCCACCTGGTCCTTCCTTTGGTGTCAGGAGGTTGGTGCATGAAGCCCCTTGTCCCCACTCCCTGTCCCCAAAGAAGCTTCCCTTCTGTAATATCCAGTGTCCTCCCTAGACAAGTTCCAGCAAACAAACATGTCTCCTCGTTATTACATCTACAGGACATTCGGTGAGCTAGTCTTGACCGGCTCTGCTACCACAGAGACATGATTCAACCCTAACCTCAGGAACGAGCATGCCTCAGCACCAGCTGCGTACCAGGTACCTGCTGGCTTTCCTGTCAGTTTTCTAACCAAACCTTCACAACGGCCCCAAGATTTAGGAACTGTTCATCCTTAGCTTACAGATGAAGAAGCCAAGACTGAGCCAACAGTCCCTTCCTGAGGCTCCACAGCTCAAGACCTGGGCTTATCCTCAGTTCTACCCTTGCTTAGCCCACACTGCCTCGGAGATCAGCTTCCCTGCCCTTCTCCATCGGGACCACTCCCTGGGGGGTGCAAACGAGATCCCCAGAAGTAGACCCAAACATGGCCACTCAGAAAGCCCATGACTCTTCCCAGGGTCCCTCAGAAAGTCTGGGGTTGGGACTCAGCCCTGGCACCTGCAATCTAAGTAGGCTTCCTGGGGTCCCTTGTCCTGCAAGTCCTGGCTCCACACTTGCATCTCTCAGAGACTTCTTTCCCCCCACCTTCTTACAGTGCTCTTCGGCACCAATTCCCACGAAGGGTTAAAGATGAGAACCAAATAATTTACTTCGAGATCTTCAAAAAACAAATTCAAATTTTTTTTAATTATGTCAAATTAAGGCCATTAAAAGTTAAGCTGTGTACCAAGAGCATTTTCCTGAGAAAGGTGCTGGAACGTCATTATTTCTCCCCAAAACGCACTTACTGTACATTTCTCAAAACCATCAGCCTTGATTGAAGGCTAATGAAAAAGCTGTCCGACGTCGGTTTATTCCTTGTATCCATTAAGAATAATTACGGCTGAACAATTTTTGATGCCTGTAACCTTCGAAAGCGTTGCTAATGGCATTATAAATTGCTTCTTGTCCAATGACTACGGCGAGATGCTTAATTCAAAGGCGCTCTGTCAACAGGACTGATTTGTGTGGCTAATGAGCACATTTAAAACAACAGCCTCAGCTCATGCATCCGAATGTCAATAAGAGGACGAGGTTCAATAAGGAGGCTTGTCCGTAATAATTAGTAGGGACAAGCACTCTAGAGCAGGGCCGACTGTGGCTTTCACAGCCCTGCTGGAGACATTACTGGTCTCCCCGGGGCCCATCCAGTACCAGTCTTCACTGCTGGGCTAGGGTTAGAACCCAGGCAGTCAACCAGGGCAGGAGCCAATGGCAGAGGAGGAGGCGTTGAGCAGGGTGTACAGGACAGTGACGAGACTAGCTACTATTTATCAAGCACTTAGTCATTCATTCCACGGACATTTATGGAGCACCTGTTGTATGCAGAGGGTGCCGTGGTAAGCAGGACAAACACAGAGCCTGGACTGTGGGGCCCGCAAATAGTGCCCTAAGCCATAGCCGGGAAACCTGACAAGTCACACGGGGCAGGCGGTGGTGGGGGGGGGGGGGGGGCAGGGGGAGGCTCAGAACAGCAAGCAGGGGCCCAGAACCAGCGTGGGGCAGTGGAAGGGAGGCTTGTTCGATCAAAAAGAAAGCAAAGTTGCTGATGGAAGCTGATGGCACAGGGTCCCTGGGCTAGCTATCCTAAAGTGTGAGCATTAGTCTAAACAGGAACACTTTTCCCTGTTCCACCCACTCACCCTGAGTGCAGCGGCCCAGGATGCACACGGGTGTGCACATCTGTGTCTTCAGGAGGTGGGCTGCATGGCATGAGGATGGATTGGTGCATCCACACAGATCTGTGTCAGAATGGGGGGCCAGGCTGTCCTGGGACAGCCCTGGGCCTGCTGGGAGGGCTCCAGGTGTTTGCCCGCAGGAGCCCAGGGGTAGCAGACATACTGGGGGGGGGGGCACTCCCTCAACTGCCTTCCCGCCAGAGCCCTGTCACCTCCAGGGCTCTCCAGGTGCAGGCTGACAGGATCTGTCTCCCCACTTCTGGTGACAAGGCTCAGATTTCTATCTCAGGGAGTGGCGCTCGGGAAATCCCAGGATGAATTGATAAACAGAGAATTTGCCCCATTGGTCTCCAAAGAGTGTGTTTCGAAAGCCCTTCAATTCTTTTTTGTTGTTGTTGTTTAAAGAACGTTTATAATAACATCTCCATAGCTATTCATGCATATGAGTTGTACATATCAAGAAGCTTTGTGGTGACATTCACATGATACATGTAATATATCATGCTTTGATTGCTCCCTCTAACTACCCTAGCTTACTCACCTCCTCACCCCATCCCCTCCCCTCCCCTAGTACTCTCTCTACTACTTCCAGGTCATCTGTTACTGTTATTATTAGCTTCACACGAGAAAACACAACACTAATATTTTTGTGTCTGATTCATTTTGCTGAACATAATGTCTCCCAGTTCCATCCATTCCATCCATGCAAATGGCATGATCCCATTCTTCTTTATGGCTGAATAGTACTCCATTGTGTGCATGCATACGTGTGTGTGTGTGTGTGTGTGTGTGTGTGTGTGTGTGTGTGAGTGATGCATTCTCTTTGTCCATTCATCTATTGATGGACTCCTAAGCTGATTCCGTGGCTTGGCTATAGTGATTGATGCTGCAGTAAGTGTGTGTGTGTCTCTATTGCACTCTGCCTGTTTTTGCGGGTTATACTCCAGAGCGGTACACTAGGATCGTATGTTCATTCTCTTTCCGGTTTCTCAAGGAGCTTCCGTACTACATCTCACAGGGGCTGGACCGATTTTACATTCCCACCAGCAGTGTAGAAGCATCATCCCACTCCCCACCCCCCACCCCCCCACCCCGCATATGTTCACCAGCATTTGCTGTATTCTTGGTTTGAGCTTAGATCACTTTGGCCTGTGGTCTGCTGACTAAAGCCCCTCGCTCCTCTTTCTGCCAGGAGATAGTGAAGGAGTCAGTTGTTTGATCTGAGCTTCCAGCCTCCATTTTCTTCAGGGCAAAGGGTTTGGGGGATGATCACTCTCTCTCTCTGATTTTGAGCCTGATTTCAATCTCTGTGGCAGAAGCCCTCTGCAGCGTGTGGCACGCCCAGCCCGTTACCACACAACCGTCTCTGGCTTCATGACAACCGTAGCACAAATCCTAAAATTGGTCTTAATGATAAAAACCTGGAGCCAGTCACCAGGATAAATGTTGAAAGATCAGTAAAGGAACCGGCCACTAGAGAGGCTTCTTACCTCTCCAACTCCTCAGCCTGAAAGAGACTGAGCTCCTGTCTCCTCCTGCCTTACATTCTTCTCTCTGCCCAGCCATATCACTTCCTGTCTCCACCTCCCTAGTGCTGGGATCAAAGCTGTGTGCCACCACTGCCTGGCTCTGTTTCTCTTTTAGACTGGGTCAATCTTGTGTAGCCCAGGGTGGCCTTGAACTCACAGAGGTTTGTCTACCTCTGCCTCCCGAGTGCTGGGATTGAAGGTGTGCGCCACCACTGCCTGGCCTCTCTGGCTAACTAGTGGCTAGCTCCACACTCTGAGCTTCAGGCAGTCTTTATTTGTTAGATCACGAACAAAATATCACCACAGCCAGCGCTTCTAGTTTCCTCTAGAACCATGAGTCTTTTCTTCATGCCTTTGTCTCAGCCGACCCCCTTCTTCCTGCTGCCATGCTGACTGAGCCTCCCCACCACCACCACCCCCGCAACCTCGCACCCCGTCAAGCTTCTTCCTGACCGAGTCCACCTTCTCATGGCTTTGTCCAGGGTACCAACCCGACTCTCTCTTGGCCACTAAGCAGATCTACATAGCCCAATGCCCTTCGAACATGTCTTTTCAGACAGTGCACAGGGGTCAAGGGTCAGCACAGCTAAAGCAAATGTCACCTTGGTCCTCCCCGTGCACTACCTCTCAAAACACTACCATCTGTCTACCCAACTGACCAAGCCAGAAATTGAAAAGGAAGTCTCAGTTTAAATCCTGGTCCTGCCCCCTGCCCCCTGTGGGACTACAGCAAGTTATTTCATCTCTCCAACCCTCAGTTTCCCCATCTGCAAAATGGAGATAATAATCGCTCTCACTTCAAAGGTTCCTATGAACCATGAAGGGTTAATATGTGTTAAGTCAGTAGAGTTAAACCCCACCTGCAGTTCACTGCCTATTGGATCCTTTCAGCCCTCGACCTGTTTCCTGATTCCTCTGCCTAGCTGCCATCATTTTGCCAATGCTTATCATAAGTTCAGAACTGCAAAAACCTGCCCACATTTTTCCTGATCTTGTCACCATCACTGCGCAGCTAGCGTGATCCTGGAAGGTAACTGAGATGGTAACCTCTCCTGACAGTGAGGTGTCTAGAGCTGGTTTCATAAATGAGACCCTTCAAGGCTTCCGGGCTTCCAGTGAGACTGGCAGACAGCACTCCCTGCCCTGGAACTGCGTGGGGGAGAGCCCCACTCACTCCAGAGCCCAGGGGGAAATGGGAAGGAAGAAGGGACTGGGGTCCCACAATCCCCTCTATAGACAACGGCCTAAAAACCTCTCTCTAGATTTCATCTCTGAAAGGCTCTATCACCCCTCAATAGCATCAATGGGGACCAAATCTTCAACACATGGGACTTGAGAGGATAGTCAGGATCTAAACTACAGCAGCATTCATCCCCCAGCTTCTGGGAGCAGGTCCCTTGGGGTTATGCCTTCTCCCCAGACAGCTTTGTCCAAAGACTGTGTAGTGTGAGGTATAAAAGCTCCCCTCCCTTACCTCACTCCTAGACCACTCTGGCTTTCCCCTGTGGGTCTGCTGAGGCTCTGGTGTAGGTGCACAGTAGTCAAGTCTCTCCCTCCAGCCTGCATCCCTGGACTCCCACAGGTGTGGTTCTCCAGATGACGCCCCCCCACCTCTATCCCTATCCCCTACCTCCACCCCCATCCTCCACCCTTGACCCTGTAGATCTCCAGCTCAGTTCACCTCCAGGGAGCCTGACCTAAGATGGCTGTCTTCCCTATGCCGGATTAGATGTTCATTCTTGGTACCTTCATCCCTGGCACACTTTTTTCAGACTCTCCTACAGACCTGGGTAAGATTCCCAGGTTCCTTGCCCATCGCCCTCGTGGAGTAGAAGCCATCCAAGATGGACCACGTTGACTCATCTCGGTGTACAGCACCTGTTTGGTGCCCGCAATCATTCCATGATGCTTAGACTCAGAGGTTTCTATGGCGCCATCCCAAGAGGGGCTTTTGGTGTGGCTTATAAAACAAGTCATGGGTACGGTGGACAGCCAAGAGCTCCATTCCATGAGAAGGGAGGCTGGCAGAGGCTTGGGGATGAGCCAGTTGCTGGGAAGAGACTGAGGAAAGATGGGAGAGACCTGGGGGTAAAAGAGGAGAGGAGGTTCAGTGGGGTGTGTTTGGAAGTCCCCCAATGTAGCAATACCAACTATTGACCGTCACGTGGATGCCATTTAAGTAACAGCCGTATCAAATACACCAAACACATGCTTTATTGGCATGCTCTAGAGTCCCCTGCATGTCCATTTGGTGGCTAGTCAGGATACAGCCCAGGCTGTTTAGCCAATTTCACGAAAGCCTGACACCAGCCCACGTTGACCTGCTCTCCTGGCCTCCTCTCTTGCTGTGACCACTTGCGTGTGTTCTGCTCCAGGACCCTCCTTGAGCACGCTTGTCCCACTCTCATCCTGTTGCCCACTGGGGCAGCTGGCCAGACACAGGCTTGCCCACCTTTGTAGCGCAGGCCCCATCCAACTGAAGCCCTTCCTGGCTTCTGGTTTCTACAGCCGGGCGTCTCTTACTCTCTTCTTTCTTTCTTTGTTTTATTTTTGTTTGTTGTTGTTTTTCATTTAGTTGTTTTTGAGACAGGGTGTCACTATGTTGCTCTGGCTGGCCTAGAACTCACGGTGATCCACCTGCCTCTACCTCCTGAGTGCTGGGTCTTTATTATTATTATTATTATTATTTTATTTTTAATCATTTCAGTAGCTTTGTTAAAGTGTTCTTTGTCTGTTACTGTCATCCTGACACTCTCTAATCTCCCATCAACCCCACGTTCATATCTTTTGGGTTTGTTTTAGGACCCACCAAGTAGAACTAGGGCTGTCCAAGCAACCGTGGGTTTGGAACTGTTCCCTGGAGCCTGGTAGGCTCCCCAGCAGGCATGCAACCGAAGACAATGGTTTCTCCTCCCCCAGAACCCATCAGTAGCCAATTGTTCAGCAGTGAGGAATGGGGCCCCTGTGAGCCCTTCCTTGATCCATCACTGACTATTGACAGGCCCCATTTTGTACAGGCCGGTGCAGGCAATCACGGCTCCCGTGAGATCATGTTTACAATGGCTGCGTCCTGCCCCGAGGAAAGGGTTTTGTAGCTCTTCACCCTATCTCCCAGCTTTTACGTTCTTTCCACCCCTTCGTCCAAGATGTTCCCTGAGTCTTAGAGGGGCTGGAATAAATGTCCCGATTAAGATTGAGCAGTTGCGGGGCGGCGGTGGTGGTTCACACCTTTAATCCCAGCACTCGAGAGGCAGAGCCAGGCAGATCTCTGTGAGTTCGAGGCCAGCCTGGTCTACAGAGTGAGATCCAGGACAGCCAGGGCTACACAGAAAAACCCTATCTTGAAAAACCAAAAACAAAACAAAAGACTGAGCACTCGACCATCATTGTTCTCAGTACCATGCAGGGCCACCGGTCTCCCGTGTCCACTGTCTTTCATTACAAAGGGAAGTCTCTCAACTAAGGATGAGACTAGCACTTGTCAGTGCTGGGTGATGGGGTGTGTGAGTCCTGGCAGGCCACTTAAAAATTTTTGTAGTATCATACTTGTGTACAGTGCACTGTGATAATATTCACCCCACTACCCTCCCCCATCCCTTCCCACTCACTCCAACCTCCTCTTCCCAGCTAGTCCCCATCTCACCCACGTGTCCCTCCCCCCACCCTTTCTGGCTGTCACGGCTGCTGTGTCCATGACTGTCACAGCAATGTCATATCCAAATGACAGCCTCCTACCACACTCCTCCATCCTTCAGCTCCCTCGGTCCTTCCATCATCCCCTCGACAATACCCCCTCAACCTCAGAGGTGCCCCATCTGGGGCTCGTCTTTTTGTGTTTGTACGTTTGTGTGTGTTCATGAAGGTGTGCATATGTGGGAGCTCACATGCATGTATGTCTACATGTATGTGGAGGCCAGAAGACAACCTTAGGTGTGCCATCCTCAGGAACACTTGCTTTGAGACAAGGTCACCAATTGGGCTTGTTGGCTGGCCGGTGAGTGCCAGGGATCCCCCTCTCTGCACCTCTCCAGCCGAGGGTTACAAACCACCACACCTGGCATTCTCACTTGTTCTGGGACCAAACGCAAGTCCTCAAACTTACGAAGCAAGCGCTTTACCTCCTTTCGTTCTTCTCACGGCCCCTTACGTCAGTCATCTGTTGTGGTATCTGCCTCCCCCAAGCAAACTGGGCTCTCTGCAGGCAGGGATGTGTCCGCTCCGCCTCTGTCCTCAGCAGAGCCCTTCACCTAACTCCGAGCGGAGCTGCCCGAGAAGGGACAATGTAGTCTCCGTGTCTGAGCCAACGCAGGACATGCTCTTGCCCATGATCTTTGGCTTCTGGGTTCATGGCTGGAGAAGCTGAGAGTATCCTGGCTTCTCTGGAAAGCATGAAGTAGGGGGCCTGGCTCCCCAACTTGGCTTTGACCACAAGCTCCAGAGACCGACCTGTGCCCATCTCCCCAGTACTGGGATTACAGATGTGTGCCACCTTGCCCAGCATTTATGTGGGTGTTGGAAATCCAAACTCAGGTCCTCACGCTCGTGTGGCAAACACTTTATGAGTCAAGCCATTCCCTCAGCCTGTAATTACTTTAAAAAATTTTTTTTATTTTAGAAAAATCTCAAGTTTACCAGAATTTGAGGCAAAAAGACTAAATGATCAAGACAGTTTCGAAGTTTGTGGATTTTTTTTCAAGCCAGAGAATGTATTAACCTATTTTCATTCAAAAAATATCTGTGGGTGCTGGGTTTAGGGTGTGTGTGTGTGTGTGTGTGTGTGTGTGTGTGTGTGTCTGTCTGTCTGTCCCATAGCTGTCATGTCTAAATTTTAAGTTCCCCAAGGACAGAGACAGTGTCTTCTGGCTTGTCCCCCACACAGAGCCTGGCGCATGACTGATGCCCAATAATTACTTGTTGAGTGAAAGAAAGTGAAGACAGTCCAGTCAATAAGAAGGAGCTGATGTGGCAGCCTTCCCCTGGGCAGCGTCATGACTGGCCGTGACCTTCTGTCAGTTACCAGCAGGAGGAAGGGGCACGGGGAAGAAGGGACTGAATGGCTAATGCAGGAATCTGCAAAGCACTGGGAATTACTACTCAGGGTTGTCACGGCCTCCCCACCCCATCAGAGGTTGACTCCCTTCTCCATCCGCACATCCAGATCATGGACAAACACACACACACACACACACACACACACACACACACACACACACACCCCTCTGAGGGCTTCAGCCACCAATATGGTCATCTTTTTTTTTTTGTTTAATCGCCTGTTGTGTGTGCGTGTGGAGACTAGGGGTTGACATTAGGTGTCTTCCTCAGTCACTTCTCCACCTTATTTGGGACAGGGTCTCTCACCAAATCTGGAGCTCACCAGGACTATAGGTCCAGGTTTTTACATGGGTCCCAGGGATCCAAACTCAGGGCCTCAGCTTCCACTTCGAGCTCTAAACTCACTGAGGCATCTCTTCAGCCCCTGAGAAGGTCACCTTCACGGCTCTTGTTATTTCTTCTCCCTCTTTTTTTTTTTTTTTTTTTTTTTAAAGATTTATTTATTTATCATGTATACAGCATGTATGACTGCAGGCCAGAAGAGGGCACCAGACCTCATTACAGATGGTTGTGAGCCACCATGTGGTTGCTGGGAATTGAACTCAGGACCTCTGGAAGAGCAGTCAGTGCTCTTAACCTCTAAGCCATCTCTCCAGCCCCTCTTCTCCCTCTTTAAAGACCTTCACACATGTCTGTGTCCTCTAAGACTCGCTGAGGGACTACCTGACCCCCGGGGCCTCAGCATCGGTACACTGGAAAATGGGTACCTCGAGGCTCCGTACCCCAGGACAAAGAGTCTCTCTTTCTCTTCCTTTTGTTTTTAGGTGGCTTTCAGACTCACTGTGGCTGAGGGAATGAGGCAGAAGTGGGACCACACACATTCTCGACTGAGCTGGCCTGGTTGGTGACACACGACGTCTGGTCACCCTCAGCTCAATCCATGGCCAGCCCACCCCTAGAAAACTCGAGTGATGCTGAGACTAGTCAGCTCCAAGCAATACTCCAGCACACCTCAGATGCAGAAGTGAGCCTAGGCAAGATCAGCTGAGCCCCGAACCATCCAACTGGTGCTAGATCTGGGAACAATGGTGGACAGAGGTTGCTTCAAGCCTCTGGGTCTTTGGATGCATTGGGGCACATCCCTGATCTTCCCACTCTGCACCTTTGTTTTGAGCAACAACACCCAGAAAACAGGCAGTCTCCCCACCCATTCTCTCAACTAAGCCCCCGAGCCCGCTGCTCCCTTACTGCCTGTCTGTCTGATTTTGAGCCCTAGCTGGCCCAAACTTGCTCTGTAGGTCAGGTTGGCCTTGAACTCATATAGATACGGCTGCTTCTGCCTTCCCAGTGCTGGGACTGCGCATGTGCACCACCACATCCCTCTTCCTCACTGCCTTACCCACAGCACTGGCTCTTCACTTCCACAACATTGCCGGCTCTTTCTTCCCTGCCTCTTCCTGCTCGGCCCTCCCTGCCTCTCCTTTTCCTCCAGTCCCATCGAGGACCCCACCAGCAGTCACCTGTCCTCTCTTTGATACCTTTGACCCTCATCCTTCCATCACACCCTTGAAAGGAGCCCACTCCTGGTGAGCCAGTGTTCACCTTCTTAGTTCCCATGCTTCCCAAAGGTGCTTCAGGAAATTGTCTAACCTGATTAGGTGGCTTTCTCACAAGTTCACGGTCATAGGGGTGGGGGGGTGCTGTCTAGATGGCCCTCTGAGACCTGTCCAGACCTTCATCTGTCCTCTCTCTCCCTAATGGCCACTGCCTTCATCTCCCATCTCTCTCCCTAATGACCATCACACCCAGCAAGCGGGCAACCTTACTACCTATTTTATTAGGAAACAGGGCCATCACCATCCTGCGGCTACCTCTCAACCAGCCCTCCTCTCTGATTCCTCTGAAGCGTGGCTGAGAAAGAAATGGCGTAAAGGGTCATTGCTCTTCCACAGTGGGATACTCTTCTATCTTTATTTATTATTACTGTTTGTATATGATGTGTCAGAGCATGTGTGGAGGACACAGGACAG